TGGTTGGAAGGGGCCTGAAAGATCATCTTGTTTAACCTCTTCCATGGGCAGGGACACCTTCCACTAGCCCAGGTTGCTCCAACCTGGCCTTGGACACTTCCAGGGATCCAGGGGCAGCCACAGCTTCTCTGGACAACCTGTGCCAGGGCCTCCCTACCCTCAGAGGGAAGAGTTTCTTCCATACATCCAACCTCAATTTCCCCTCTTTCAGTTTGAACCCATTCCCTCACTGATGGGTAGGAGCTGGAGGTGATGCAAGACAAACTCCCTCATTGTGGGCACACCTGCACTCAGTCACAGGAGGGTGGAATTTGGCCTGGTAATTCCTAACATCATCCATATTTATCAGCCCTCAATCACAGCAGAGTTTCGGAGACATCTGTATTTCTTGCACATGACAAAAGGCAGATTTGCTGCTGTACTATTAAGATTAAGTGTAGCTCTTTCTCTTCTTTGACAGTCCTAATGCAACTCTTGAGATGTTGTAGATCTCCTCCTAATGAAGTGTCAAAAATATTTACCTTCAGGACAAATTACAAGAACAGCAAACATCCTCACCGTGTATTAAAGAAGTTTGGTACGTTCCTGTCAGCGGCTCACAAGCTCTCCCTGGTGGTCCTGCCGAGCCGAGCCTCGTGCCAAGCGTTGTTAGGTCTGAGTGATGAGGCGGGGGAATGGAAACAACGAAATTAAAACATTCGAAACTGGAATCTGATCCTTTTCCCGGGCTGTTCTGCACCTGTTTTGCTCGTCTCTGTGTAGGTGGCTTCTGGGAGGGAAATGGCCTGAGCTGCAGCGATGCTGAGGCTGTTTGATTACTCTGGAGTGGCACTGAGTTCTCAGAACTTCTGCAAAATTAACTCATAGCCTGTCTGCAAGCTTTGGGCACCTGAGCTGCAGGATTTTAGAAGCTGGAGCTTCTAAAATGCCTCTTTCACTGGAGTTTGATGCGTTAAACTCAGCTGCAAAACTAAGATTTCGTTGCTTCTGAGCAATGACTCCAGAGTGCTGATGTTTGTTCAGAAAGGCTGACTCCAGGTAGTGTCTGTGCCTGGGGAATGGATACCTTCATTTGGATCCAAATGTTCTTTATCCTTAGTCCCCCCCTGACACGGGTGAAATGCTGAAGGTGACATTGATTTCTGGTGTTATTTGAAACAAGCTGCTATTTAAAGCCGTATCTTTCTGTTGAGAGAGAATTTGCTAATATTACAAATATGACAGGCTTCTGACCCAGCTGAACCAACCTAACAAATCCATTTTACCACAGAAATTGGCTTTTTATTGAAAGGGTGTAATGCTCATCCCACAGGGCACCTCCAGAGAGCCTTTGGCACTTAGCTGGGCAGCCACTGTGAAACTTGTCTCGCTACAGTGATGAACCTCAGGGAGCTGGATCAGATATTGCTGCTCCACCTGCTGCTCTGTGCCTCCTGCTCAAACACGTACTGTGTGGGGTTACTGGAATTTCCTTTGTCTTTCCCCCCCCAGCTCCATTACTGACATGCCAAGAGGACTGTGGGTAAGCCAGTGGGTTTGTCCACACAGGTCTTTTCTGGATTGTTCCTGGCTTTAACCTGAGTTATGTTCTACAAGCTGAACTTACCCCAGAATGGTCTGGGTTGGAAGGGACCTTAAGGACCATCTCATTCCACCCCCTGCCATGGGCAGGGACACCTTCCACTGGCCCAGGTTGCTCCAAGCCCCATCCAACCTGGCCTTGGACACTTCCAGGGATCCAGGGGCAGCCACAGCTTCTCTGGGCAACCTGTGCCAGGGCCTCCCCACCCTCACAGGGAACAATTCCTTTCCAGTATCCCCTCCCTACACAGTGTCAGTGGGAAACCATTCCCTTTCATCCCTTCACTCCAGGCCCTTGGAAACAGTCCCTCTCCAGGTACCTGCCTGGCCTTGGACCCACACACAAAGATTTGGTCGGTATGAGGCAAGGAAGTGATGATTTTAAAAATTTCCCTGCTTTGCATCAATATAAAGTGGTTTTTTTACATATTCCAGTATCCCTTGCTACCACAGGCAGAGGCTCCCTGACCTCAGCTCTGAGTTTGTGGAGGATATAAAACTCTCTTACAACACTTTGACAAAATGGATCCGAAAAAACATCCAGAGAAGCTGCTTTGAATGGTTCTGTAACCAACAGTCTGCATGTTTGCAAGGATGCTTTGTTTCTGTTATCAGGCTGGTTTGAAATGTTTCTTTAGTAAGAGTAACTTTAGTAGTAACAGTGTAGTAATAGCAATCCTGTGCACTCTTTTAGTTGTAATTTGAAGATTTCCACGGTGTTTGGTTAAGAACAGGTACTTGAAGTGAAAGATTTGATTGTTATCATATATTCATGATTTTTAGGGATCCCTGGGAGGAGAGGCTGGGGCTGCCCCAGGCTGGGCACAGCCCCTTCCAGTGGCCCCTTCCAGTGGCCCCATGGCCAGGCACAGCTGAGGTGCTGGCTTAATTTTTGTCTTTTTTTCTCCCCATCCAAATATCAACCTGATGTTTAGGTCCAGCCACTTCTTTGTGTTCAGGTTGGATATTTGGGAAAATTTCTTCACTGAAAGAGGGGTTAAACATTGGAAGGAGCTGCCCAGGGAACCGGACACCATCCTGGAAGTGTTCAGGAAAATGACTGGATGTGGCTCTCAGTGCTCTGAGGAGGGGTGACAAGGTGGGGATCGGGCACAGGGTGGACTGGATGGTCTTGGAGGTCTTTTCCAATTCCATGATTCTGTAGCACAGCATGCTTTCACATTCAGTTCTTCCTTCAGAATTTAATTGTCAAAGGAAAGCCAAAAATTTGCCTAGTCCTGATATCCACCTGTCAGGCTCCTGCCTGCTGGCTCCAGGATGTTTTGGGGCTGTATTTCCCTGTGCCAGTTGGAAAGCAGGAGTGCTCTGGAAAAGCTCACTGATATCTTTACTTTTTTTGACTGACAGAATGGGGTACATTTCAGAAAGCTTTTAACCTCCCCCATCTTCCCTAAAAACGCTAATAAAGGGGGTTGAGATCACCCAAGAGGCAGTAATCTGGATTTTAAAAGCAAGCTCCAGAGCTAGAGAACAAAAGCAATTTAACACATTTCATATTTATGCTTTTGGTAGCCGAGCTGGATAAAGCTTTATCAATTTAGAGGCAAACAAAATATTCCCAGAGGATGTGAGGACCATTTCAAGCAGTCCTGTCTCAGTGATGAGTGACAGCCGGTGTCATTGTGGGAGCTCATTTTTGGGCAGCTCTGCAGCTCTGTGATGTGCTGTTTGAAAAGTATTTGCTGTCTCCAGCTAAACCAGGCTGGATATTATTGTTTAAGTGCTGCATAGTTCTGCCTATTCCATCTGGGCTGATAGGAGTTGGAGTAGCATGGAGAGCACATCCAGCTTTGAGTACCTGGATCTGGTGCGTCTCCTCGCTGGCATTCCCTGGAAATTATCCGAAAATGAAGACAGTACAGGAGTCAGTAAAAATTTCCACCGTAAAGATGTTGTTCTCTGCTGGTGAGGAAACAATTAATGATGATTAATGGCCACCTACTGAAGGCTTAATGACCTTGCACAGATGAAGCCCTTTTAGCAGGAGTGGCGTATCAGGGCAAACAGCTCCAATCTCTGCTCTCTGGGACCAGGGACAGCACCCAGGGAACAGCTGGAGCTGTGCCAGGGGAGGATCAGGTTGGATCTCAGGGAAAGGTTCTTCCCCCAGAGGGTGGTTGGCACTGACCAGGCTCCCCAGGGCAGTGGGCACAGCCCCAAGGCTGCCAGAGCTCCAGGAGGGTTCGGACAACACTCTGAGGGACAGGGTGGGATTGCTGGGGTGTCTGTGCAGGGCCAGGAGTTGGACTGGATGATCCTTGTGGGTCCCTTCCAGCTCAGGATATTCTGTGGTTGTATGAACTCTTAACGCTGCCACAAACCCTGACTAGATTGTGATTATGTTTTGTTCTTAAATCAGGTAAAGTAGGGATCTTACACGGATTTTACATGGATTTTACACCAAGACCTGCCCCTTTTTGAAGTCAGGGCTGTTTTTTCTCCCTAGTCAGGGTCTGTGGCATCCACCAGGCAGCCCTGGGAGCTTAAGCCACAGGTTTAGAAGCCTTGCCAAGGCTTTGATAAAAGCTGGTGATAGCTGCTGAGGTGCCCCACATGCTGAGGTGATGCCCAAGCCTGTGAGTGCACAATGTACAGGCAGTGATTAACTTCCATCTCACTGACCCTTCCCACGTGGAGCACGGGAAAGCCTTGGAAGGGTCCTCAGAAACACTCCCCTCTGAACACAGCTCCTGGCTGCTGAACAGGAGCATAAGGAATGGGTCTGGAGAGGCCAGGATGGGGCTACCCAGGGTTGGCAGGCACAAGGAAGGTGGAATAACAGCTCCCAGGGCTGCCTGATGGATGCCAAGTCTGCATCCTAAATCAGCAACAGGACAGTGCCAGGGCAGCTCTGGATCTGCACAGCAGGTCCTTGTGCACCAGGGCAGGAATGCCACTCATTCCTTTCTTTTTTCAATAAAAAGATTTATTTATTTGCTCCAAAACTGCCTGTGCAGAATATCTCTAAGAAGAGAGAGAACATTCTCATTGTATAAGTTTGTGAATAAGTTGCTGGGATGTTTTTTTTCTTTGATATTGAATTTTCAACAAGAATTTGGCAGTGGAGGTTTCTCAGAATTTAACTGTTCTTACATATTGTTGCAGACTTGAACAGTCAATTTTTTTTTTTTTTTTTTAATTTTTTTTCTTTCTTTTGGAGCAGTTTAGTGCCAACAGAGGAGAAAGAAATTGCTGGAAAAGCAAAACTGTGAGCAGCAAAGTTAAATGAACCATTTAAAGCACCAGCAATATCTGCACTCTGGGATCTAATGTTTTAAATGTCAGAGTGGAAGAAATTTGCTGGACCAATATATAACTTTATTTAAAGGACAAGGTTAATGATTCCTTGCCTGCATATTTACCTTGTTTGCCTCTGCTTGTTTTCTTTTCCCCATCAGGCTGATGATAAAGACACTGGGAATTACAGTGCCATGCAGTACAGACTCATCATTCCCCCCATCAAGGATGGCAAAGAAGGTTTTGTGATTGAAGCTTACACAGGGCTGATCAAAACTGCAATGCTCTTCAAAAACATGAGGAGATCCTATTTCAAGTTCCAGGTCATTGCCACTGACAATTATGGAAAAGGACTGAGCAGCAAAGCAGAAGTGCTTGTAAGTATGAGCCAGGCATCGTTAGGGAATAATTCCTGAGGAAATTTAACCACCATGTAAAGTTTAATTCCAGGCAGACCTATAGAAAAGCCATGAACTGTGTGTGCTTAATTTTTTAAGTCACTGAAATAAAGCTTTTGCCTTTCTAAAGCAAAAGATTTTAGGACATGTTAGAGTGAGTCCAGAGGAGACACCAGGTTGGTCAGGGGGCTGGAGCAGCTCTGCTGGGAAGAAAGGCTGGGAGAGTTGGGATTGTTCAGCCTGGAGAGGAGAAGCTTTGGGGTGACCTGATTGTGGCCTTCCAGGCCTATTTATAAGGACCTGGAGTGCCAGGACAAGAGAGAATGGCTTCCCACTGCCAGAGGGCAGGGTTAGATGGGATATTAGGAAGGAATTCCTCTCTGTGAGGGTGGGGAGGCCCTGGCCCAGGTTGCCCAGAGAAGCTGTGGCTGCCCCTGGATCCCTGGAAGTGTCCAAGGCCAGGTTGGATGGGGCTTGGAGCAACCTGGGCTAGTGGAAGGTGTCCCTGCCCATGGCAGGGGTGGAACAGGATGGTATTTAATGTCCCTTCCCACCCAAACCATTCTGTGATTCCATGACTCCATGTCCCTGCTGGCCATGTCCTAGTTGGCCACGTCTTACTTTCTCATGTCTAAAGGGAGCCTCAAGGAATAATTTGGGCTAAGAACATACTTCTAAGTTTCCAGGAAAGCCCTGTTTCAGAGCTGGCCCCAACCTGAGGCCTCAAGCTCGTGGGTTTTTGCTGTGTAAAGGACATTGACTTAGTCCAGTCACGGGAACCATCAGAGCTAAATTTCTTTAAAGCCCATATAACATGATGGATTGGCTTAATATTAGCATAATGTGGCAGGGATGAAGTGCATTATCCACTTCATGGGAACACTGTCAAATGATACAGATGAGAACCATAACACTTGGGGCATTGAGTTATGGAGGGATTCACCAAATAAACATAATGTATGACGTCCTCATGCTTGACCTCCTCAAATGATAGGGCACCCTCAGGCAATTTGGGCAGTAATGGCATATTAAAATATAGCCAGAAGGTATTGACATTTCAATTAGAAAGTGAAGGATGTCTCATTAATTTATAGAGGTCCCTTTAGGTTGTCTGGGTGAGTGATGGGCAGTGCACCCACTGTCTTTGAGCAAGGCATGGAAGCTGAGAGTGGCTGGAGAGACAATTAGAGATTGACACCATCCCACTGAAAGCTGGGACATGGAGCTGCTGGGGCCAGTCCAGAGGAGGCCCCAAGAGGATCAGAGGGCTGGAGCAGCTCTGCTGGGAGGAAAGGCTGGGAGAGTTGGGATTGTTCAGCCTGGAGAGGAGAAGCTTTGGGGTGACCCAACTGTGGCCTTCCAGGGCCTGAAGGGAATCTGCAGGAAGGATGGAGAGAGACTATTTCCAAGGGCCTGGAGTGGCAGAACAAGGGAAAATGACTTCCCACTGCCAGAGAGTAGATTTGGATTAGATATTGGGAAGAAATTGTTGTCTGTGAGGGTGGGGAGGCCCTGGCCCAGGTTGCCCAGAGAAGCTGTGGCTGCCCCTGGATCCCTGGAAGTGTCCAAGGCCAGGTTGGACGGGGCTTGGAGCAACCTGGGCTAGTGGAAGATGTCCCTGCCCATGGAGGAAATGGGACTGGATGATCTTTCAGGTCCCTTCCAACCCAAACCATTCTGTGATGCTCTGATTTTATGCCCCAAGTGAGATCCATATGTGAAGATCCTTTCTCAAGATTTGAACAGGATTTGTCCTGCTGAAACTGTGGCTCAGGTGCTCAGCCTGGCAGGTGTTCTTTCTTTCAATCCCAGCTCAAGAAGTGCACATAGAAATGGAAAATGGATTTAGTTACTCTTGTGCAAGTGAATAAGATGTGGGGGAAGGAGACAGGACTGCACTGGGAGGAGGTCTAGGGGGAAGAAGCAGGACACGACCAGAGGAAGAACCTGAGCAAGGTATCCTCCAGAACTGAAACCAGGAGCTTCCTCAGAGCCTGGCACAGCTCTGTGAGCACCATGACCTGCCAAATCCACTGGTTGAAGGTCTTCATGCTGGTGGAGACAGTCCATGTGATGGACACCGGGCTGCTCCTGATGGCTGGAACTGGCTTGATGGCTCGAGTCAGATGTCTGAGGGGAGACAGTTTGGTTCCATCTGATGGCATTTCCCTCTTTAAGCCTCTGTGAGAGAACAGGAAGAAATAAGAAACTACATTTTAAAATGAGTTTGCTGCAAGGAAGCACTTAAAGGTACTAAGTGTAGATAGTGAATATTCACTATCATAAGATATGATGTCATAGTTTTCTTTATAGGATATCATCTTTAACCAAATGGGGTTTGGGGAGCTGCAAGGCCCCTTTCCTCATTCAACTCTCAGCATAAGCTACTCCCAGGAATCCCTCGGTGCCATATAATGATCCAGACTCTTTGTAGGCTCTGCCTTGATTTAAAACTCAGGAACTACCTAATGAATGAATCTTGGGATCAAAGGGATATCACTTATGGGCTAGTGCTTATCAACAATTTTATGCTTTCCCTGCCTTTACAAATGTGGATAATAAGCAAGTTTCCTCTAGAAACCTCCAATTTTGCTTGATTTTTATCCAACACCCTTGGTTTCCTGTAGCTCGTCATGAATGTGTTTATCCATGTTTTTGTATAGGAACAAGTGGTGATAATTGTGATTCCTGGAATGTGAAAAGAACTATTGCCTTTGTCTGCAGTGTTGCCTTTATGCAACACTCAGCATATGGAGCACAGTGGTTGCTTGAATTGGCTCATGTCATTAATTCTATTAAATTGATCATTCTGTTAGAGTTCCGTTGCATGATTTTAGTCTAAATTTTATTTAGAGTTCATTATAATTCTGTTCTTCTTACACAGAAGCCAGATCAGGGCACCTGATGACATTTCAAGAACATTTAAATATTTAAAGTTGAATTAAGCTTCAAAGCTGGTGAATCAGTGTTTGATGTGGAAGGGTATTGTGGCTTTTCTGCTGCAGTGATTACAGGGCTCGGGTTCCTCTTTTGAAAATCAGGCGTTGTTTATTTCTTTTAGAATCAACTTAATTCTTGATTTTTAAATTTATTGGGTTTCACATTGGCCTACTTTTCCAAATTTTCCTCCAGAATCCTTCCCAGGATTGAGGGGGACATGGCTCAGGAGCTGTGTGGTGTCCCTTTTGCACACTGACTGTCCAGCCTGACGTTGGGAAACCCAGGAGTGACGTTGGTTTTGTAGTAGGAAATGCCAATTCCAGAGATTTGTTCTGAGCTCAGTCTGTGCTTTGGTGGAAAACTGGAATTTAATTTGATTTCAACAAAGCACACAAGTATTGAGTGGATTAGAGGCATTTTTCCTTTTTTTTTTTTTTTTTAAGGAAAGAGCTCAACTGTAAAATATACACAGTTATGAACAGTTTTACGATGTATAGAGGGAGAGGTTAAAGCAATTGGAGATTAAAATAAAAACTTTCACTGGTAACTTCAAAGTAAGCAATTTCCTTCATGGTTTTCTAACAAAATATCATTAATTTAGTTGAATTAATCTTGTATTTCCATTTACCTTGGTGCACATTGCATGTCTCCAGGGCAGGATTTCCCTGTCGTCAGAATGCTCATAAGTAATTTTGGATATGGCCCCTGGGAGATCTGTGATTCTGGGAGTGAAGTCTAAACTATGAAGAACAGGTTTTGCAGTCCCCACCTTAAGAATCTCTAATTCTGACGCAGAGCTGCAATTACAGCTTCTGGTTAAATCTTCACCTGCTGTTTATGGCTTTTGGCTGCCAAGCAAAGAGAGATTTCCCAGCTCCCCCGTTTGGAATTAAAAGGAGGAATCTGTGCGTGGCTGTGGAGGCAGGGAAGTGGTGATTCCATTCTTGGTGTGTGGGGAGGATGCTGTGCCAACTGAATTTCCCTCTTTTCTTTCCAGGTCTCTGTGGTCAATCAGTTGGATATGCAGGTCATCGTCTCCAACGTTCCTCCCACCCTCGTGGAGCAAAACAAAGATCAACTCATAGGGTAATTAATTTATTTCCTGTACAAATATCAGACAGTTCACTGGATTTGGGATTAGATCCAGCAGGAGTGCTGAAATATTTGAAACCAGCTAAAATCCCTTTGATCCAATAATTGCACTCAGGCACCACAGCATCATCAGGTTCCAGGAGCCAGGCTTGCAGTTCTGGCTTCTTTTTGGGAGACAAAGACAATTTTGTGTGCTTGGGGTCTTAAAACCATGGATTAGACAATGTGGGATAGAAAATACCGTAGGAAATAGTTTATAAATGATCTTTGTACTCTTCTGTCCATTTAATCAGCAGTGAGAGGCACTTCTCAGGTCTGGTCCATCCTGACTGTTGTGGTACCTTTAATTCTCCATGGAATTTTAAATACCTTGGGATTGATGATGGGATTTCCTCATTGGAAAAGCAGTGAATGGCTTACAGCTTCCCGGGAGTAGGAAAAATTACTGGTGGATTTGCTCCTGGAGATTTAGATGAAGTTGTTCAAGCAATAGGCTTCATTGACATGGATCCCATTTCCTAGAACTAGGAATAACTTCCTAAAAGGAGGTTCTAATGAGGTGGGGGTCGGTCTCTTCTCTCAGGTAACAAGGGACAGGATGAGAGGAAATGGCCTCAAGCTGTGCCAGGGAAGGTTTAGGTTGGATTGGAGCAACCATTTCTTCACAGAAAGGGTGGTTAAGCATTGGAAGGGGCTGCCCAGGGCAGTTCCATTCCTGGAACTGCTCAAAAAAACATGTGGATGTGGCACTTGGGGACGTGGTTTAGTGGTGAACATGGTTCTGGGGTGACAGTTTGACTCGGTGACCTTAGAGGTCATTTCCAACCTAAATGATTCCATGATTCCGTATTTCACAGGGAACTGAGTTTTTGAGTGAGTACAAAGTCTAAAAAAAAAAAATCATGGCCAGGTTTTGAGTTCCCAAAATCAGCTTGGGGAGTCTTTACCTTCACAAACACCATGAGCAAGCAAGTGCAACTAAAGAATTTCTCTTCTAAGAATAAGTTTTCAAGGACAGAAGATACAACCACAGGCAAAGGGAAACCAAGTTATTTGAAGAGCTTCTCAGACTGAAGTACTTTGGCCACTTCAAATAGTGCACTAATTTATAAAATTGGAATGTGTAATTCATTAACAGAGGAAAAGACTGTATCATTAACCTGGTCTAGTGAAAGGTTTCCCTGTCTGTGGCAAGGGAGTTGGAACTAGATGGTCTTTAAGACCCCTTTCAAACCCAAACCATTCTGTGATCTGTGAACTGAATGAGTCACTACAGAGGTTACTCAGCTCTTTCTCCTCTCATTTTGTAAATATTAATCCCTGAAAATATAACATTTAGTCAGCAATTGCAGCACTTGGTGATGGCGAATGTTAGGGAAGAGAGGGTAGTTGGGTCATTTTTGACATTACAGTGATTTTTCACCATCAAATAAATAGTGGTTTAAACCACTTCATAGAACAAATGATACCAGGATCTCCCCAGCTGCCTGGGGAGGTTTTTTACCAGGGGTTATGAGGTATCAAGAAATACATAATTCAGTGTTTTCCACACTGGAAAGGCTTACTCAGCACAGCCCAGGGCTGTGTGGGGGTTAATGGTCCACATAAAGAAAGCACAGCAGAGATGAGAAGATTTAAAACCTCCCTGTCCATTTGGCTCAGGAGTTGAAGCTTTTTGAGGGATGCAATGGGCACATCTTCCTTTCACATCCTCTGGACTGAACATCAGTGTCACATTTGCCATTTGCTCACCTGCTGTTGTTGTGGCTGTGCAGGTAAATCCATTTCTGGCTGCTACAGGAGGTGGCAGAGAAATTAGGCTGAGGCTTAGTGGAAAATTCGATGTGTGTTCCTCTCCTTCAGAAAACTTGGTGGAGGCAGATGACAGAATGTTCTGTAAATGTGGAAGTTTTTGGGAGCGTTTGCTGGGTGGGCAAGGATCAGCATCTCATAGGATCATAGCATATCCTCCTTTGGAAGGGACCCACAGGCATCATCAAGTCCCACTCCTGAAATTCAGCTGGAATTAAATAGCCAGGGTCGTTCTCAGAGCATTTAGTTCTTTACTTTTCATGTGATGGCAACTTAAAACTCTGCCTTAAGTCAGATACTCCACATTACCCAGAGAGACCTGGGTTCCTCCTGTAGGTAATAGAAGTGTTTGTGGAGTAAACTCCTCTGTACTGTTGTCTAGAGATGTTGCATCATTTCCTCTAAAATGGAATAATGGAGTGGCTTACAAAGAGTGTTTTGATGAAATACAGTCATAGAACAGGTCAGGCTGGAAGGGACCACAGTGGGGATCTGGTGCCACCTCCCTGCTCCAGCAGGGCCAGCCCAGAGCACACAGCACAGGAGTGTGTCCAGACAGCTCTGGAATAGCCCCAGGGAGGACACTCCACCCCCTCTCTGCTCTCTCTTCAGGGCTGGGGCACTGCCCAGCCAACAAGTTCTTCCTCCTGTCCAGCTGGAACTTCCTGGGCATCAGTTCCTGCCCGTTCCTCCTGTGCCATTGCTGGGCCCCCTCGAGCAGAGCCTGCTCCATCCTCTGCCCCCTCCCTGCAGCCCCTCCAGACATGGCTGAGGGCCCCTCTCAGGCTCTGCTCTGGAGGCTGAATAGCCCCAGCTCCCTCAGCCTTTGCTGCTCCCAGAGCTGCTCCATCCCTTGGGCATCTCCGCAGCCTGCGCTGGCCCTGCTCCAGGAGCTCCCTGGCCCTGCTGTGCTGAGGAGCCCGAGCTGGGCCCAGCCCTGCAGATGTGCCTGCCCAGGGCTGGGCAGAGGGGCAGGATCCCCTTCCTGCCCTGCTGCCAATGCTCTCCTGGTGCCCCCAGGATACCAGGATACACCTCCCTGTGCAGCCTCCTGGAGTCTTTTCCTTCACTTGCTCGTACTTTTCTCATACAGTTCCATGCTTGTAAAAGAATGGTGCGTTTCCATTGTTAAAGAAAATCCAGGCTGAACCCTTTAACGTGGTGCAAAAGTGACCAGGAATGTTTTTCCCTGAAAATCCAAATGTAAAATCAAGTGCTGATCTTTGGAGATATTACTGAGGGAGTGTTTTGGAATATGAACATTGAAGCTGCTGACTTAATGGTTTGCATATATAAAGTTGACTGCCATCATCCCTCACAGGAGCTCTGCTTTGATGCAGAGAAACTATGGTTGCACTTAAAAGAGATATTATATTGTATATTACAGCACTAAATATTGCCATAAATTATAGGGCCTAATATACATCACATGTACATTGTGCATCACATATAATTTTATGTCTAATCACAGCCTATGAGATAATAAATTTTATGTCTAGGAGCTGGAACACACGGTGCTTTTTCAGGGAAATGGTTCTGAACGGGGATGGTTTCCCTGCAGTTGTGGTTTTTTTCTTCTCCACAGTCCATGAAGTGGTAGAAAATTAGCTTGTCTCAGCTGCTGGATGCAGTTGAGGTGCATAAATCACTCGGACTCCTCAGTTTTCCCATAGGAGAAGTACTATTCTTTAGGATTTTTGCCCCGTAATTACCGAATCAAGTCTATTAACAGGTGGCTGGACCTTTTCTCTGTTGGGCTGGTGGCAGTGAACTTGTCCTTCAGCATTGGCCACAGCCAGCACTTGGTTTCCTCCCCTTTAGGAGACGCTCTTGAGTCCCAGGTACTGCTAGAGCTGCGTTGCTCTTTGCCTCAGCACTCTCTGACAGGAACAGTTTTGGGGTCATTTTGCTCCTGGCCCTTGGTTCCACCTCCCCTTTCTTTTTCCTCTGTCACTTCCTTGCACTGTATTGTTTCATTCTAAATTAAATTGCCAAATTAGGAAAGAAGTAGATTAGATAATCAAAGAATTGATTTAATTAGATTAAATAGATTTAATTACAGAAAATAAATACATTAGAGGGACATTTGCCACCAAGTGGCTGCATCCTGTTTCATATCCAGCCTGTGTTTGGCTTTTTGGGGACAATGTGTGTCCTAGAGCCTGGTACAGTGTTAACAGAGCCCATTCCATCCCTCAGCCTCTGTCTGCTGGAATCAGGATGATAATAACAGGAGGCCACCTTTATTGAGTCAGGTTTTTGGAGGGCAGGGATGTGCAGGATGGGCACAACGAGAAGGAAAGGAATTTTAGCAGTCTGTTAGAAAGCAAATTTCCTTTGCAGTGTGCAGTCCAATACGCTTGTGGTGGTGCTGGATTGATGGTCAGACTTGAATCTTAAAGGTCTTTTTCAGCCTTAACAATTCATGATCCTATACCTTTATAGGATTAGGATAAGTGGGTATAAAGACATTGGCTCTGGGTGGTTTTCTAAATATTGTGGATGTTATTTTATGCAGAGGAAATTGGCTCTGTGCTGCTCCTTCCTGCCAGACACAGGCCTCGTGTGTTCTAGAAAGCTAGAAATAATCTTTGTGAAAGGCTGTTTTATAAAGAAGGGATGTTCTTGGGCTGGAAATAAACCCCAGGGGCCACAGAAAGTGTAGAGCCTGCCCTGTGCTCTTTGTGTGCTGCAATAAGGCATTTGGGAGCTCAAGTGCATCCCCCCCAAATCTGTCACTAACTGCACAGGAGGGGCTGGAATTGGTCCTTGTCTGTTTGGGAAAGTACAGCTGAAAATCCAGCTGGTTACTTGTCAGTTATTAACCTTGCAAAAATCACGCAGCCAGAATTTGGCTGAAGTGGAGTAAAACTGAAGAGTTAATGAAACCACTTGAAAAGTCTGCACTGCTGTGGACAGGCAGAGCTCTCATCTGTCCATTGTTGCCAAATTTGCATTTCCAAATACTTGGAACATGAATTTATCATATACTATTTAACTAAATTATGTTTGGGAGCTCAAATTTCAGCCAAAAATGGTGCAGGATCTCAAGTCTTCAACACTGCTGACTCCAAGTCTATGGTACCTGTTTTTTGAGTCCTGAAAGGAAGAACGTTTCAGGGTTGGGTTTTTTGAATTTCTTAAAGTATTTTATGTGCTCCAAAAACACAAGAGGCTGTCAAATTACTAAACAACTTAGATGGGATGTTGGGAAGAAATCCTTCCCTGTGAAGGTGCTGAAGCACTGGCACAAGTTGCCCAGAGAAGCTGTGGCTGCCCCTGGATCCCTGGAAGTGTCCAAGGCCAGGTTGGAGCAACCTGGACTAATGGAAGGTGTCCCTGCCCATGGCAGGGGGTGGAACAGGATGATCTTTAGGGTTCCTTCCAACCCAAACCATTCTGGGATTCTTTATGAAGCAGAATGCCACTATCCAAGGGACAGCTCAGCCAACTAAAATACCTGTAATACCTGTAATAAATACCTGGATTATTTTACCTTTCCCTTTCTTTGGCATCTAAAGATGAAAAAAACTGTCTCAGAGTTTTCAGGGTACTTTGGGGTACGTGATATCCTCAGTGACAGTGCAAATCTATGTGCCCTTCATTTCCCTGGTATGACTGCTGGGAATTGGGAGAGTGATGGGAATGGAGACGCACAGGGAGGTGTTTTACTCGTCACATTTTGTCTGTGGAGCTAAAAGGGACTTGGAGCAGCAGGAAAGGCTTGTTCCCTGTTCATTTGCTAGTTCCACCTCTCACTACACCACTGTTGGGAGGATGATAATTACCATTAACAAGTGACAGACTACTTTTAATTTAACTTCTGCTGATCAGTACAGCAGAACTGCCAGTGCTGTTGTTACTTAAAAGTAGGCACCTCAAAACTTGGTTCTTTTGAGTAGCACTACAATCAAGTGGCCTCTTTCAGCAGAGTTTTCAAACCCTAAAGAATTTTTCAGCATCACAAGTTCAGCTGAATGACTTCTCAAATAACTCTACAGGGAACTGCTCTATTTTTAAGTGAATTCTTTAATTGCTACTTTTCAGTCTTCGGTGCATTTTTATTACCTATTTTAACCTAAACATGCAATTTGTGTGTTTCAGATTGAATATTCCTCTCATTCTCCTGTACTTGGTGGTGTTTCTTGCAAAGTCAGTTAAAGCCAAGGCCTGCAATGTGCCTATTTCCCATAGGCAGAAAGTGGTATCCCAAAATCCCAGAATGGTTTGGGTTGGAAGGGACCTTAAGGATCATCCAGTTCCACCCCTGCCATGGGCAGGGACACCTTCCACTAGCCCAGGTTGCTCCAACCTGGCCTTGGACACTTCCAGGGATCCAGGGGCAGCCACAGCTTCTCTGGGCAACCTGGGCCAGGGCCTTCCCACCCTCACAGGGAACAATTCATTCCCACTATATCCCATCTAACTCTGCCCTCTGGCAGTGGGAAGCCATTCCCCCTTGTCCTGTCCCTCCATTCCGTGTCCAGAGTGTGCTGTTTGTTCTTCAATTTTAATCATGTTTTAGGCAAAAAGATTCTCAAAGGCAATGAATTCCAGCAGGATGTCAGGAGTTTCTGAGGAAAAGGGAATGTTGTTACCAATTCTGCTCCAAGTGACCCCACGTTATAACCTTCCAACCTTTTTGGAGCATTTTTCTCCGGGCTGTAATAACAGTTCTGGGCAAGGAAACACAACAGGACAAAAGGGAATGGCCTCCAGCTGTGCCAGGGGAGGCCCAGGTTGGCCAGGAGGAGGAATTTCTCCCTGGAAAGGGTGGTCAGGCCTTGGCAGGGGCTGCCCAGGGAGGTTTGGAGTGCCCATCCCTGGAGGTGTCCCAGGAAGGCCTGGCCGTGGCACTCAGTGCTCTGGGCTGGGGGACAAGGTGGGCATCGGGCACAGGGTGGGCTCCATGGGCTGGGAGGGCTTTTCCAACCTGGATGATTCTGGGATTCTGTGAAAAACATCCCCTGCCTGCTGCAAGAGAAGATGTTTGTATGGTAATTAGGGAGGTAAATCCTTTACCTCCTTGGTCTTTCTAAATCCTTTTGCAAAACACCCTTCTAAGGACTTCGTATTCTTTCAGCCATTTCCATTCACACAATGTTTGCTGGGGCTTTTTTTTTTTTTACAATAATCTGCATATCCCAGATTTGTCCTGTCAAGTTTTACCTGGGAGAATTATTGTTCCCGAGGTGTCTGTGACAGGTTATCACCTTGGCTGCCAGTGAAGAGCGTTCCAGAAGCAGAGATAAGTAGAGTTTACCCTATCTGCAAACAACAGGAGTGCTTGTTTAGAGGACACCAGTCAACCAGCAGCGTGGCAGCCAATCTGTATCTCTATTTTCTCTGCACTAACAGTATATATTCACTGCTAGGCTGAGACCTGGCTCTGACAGACTTGGATTTTTCAAAATCTTTTAGAAAAGCTACTGTTTTAAAGGCAGGCTAAGTTTCCAAAAAAGAGAGGAGAGATGAAAAATTAGGAGCTGGTGATGCTGCCTTGACAGCGTTACTTTGGAAATCTTGTGTCAGGTAAAAAACAGCAACAAAATGTAACCTCAGCAACTGCAGAAGGTTTTGTGTAAAACAAGTGACTTCCTAAAGTCACTGGTGTCCCTTTTTGAGAGATTTGTCTTCCTCCACACCCTGATGCATCCTTGATCCTGATGCCTCGATCAGTCAGCTCGTTCCCCCCGCTTCCCTTGCTTTTGCCTCCCAGCTCAGCTGCTGCTTTTGGATTTGATACTCTGATCACATAAATTAGTCTAGGAAATTCTGTATTTATTTATAACTCCCAGGAGTTTAGATGGAGCACTTAAACTTCCAAATTCTCTGGTTTATGTCTCCATACCTTTTTGTCCATGTGTCCTGTGTGGATGATATTTGCTTTTATGCCTTTGTTTATAAAGCTGTCTTTGAGGGCTTCGAGGGAACCCTTCTTGGCCCCAGCTTGGAAACCTCACCAGACCATTAGCAAGTCTGGGTGTTGTTGTTGTTATTTTGGGCAGAGCCGCTGCTGAGTTCTGTTGGCCTTTTTTTCCCCTCTGCTTGTAGAACTCCTGCTGCAGTTTCTTTTATTCCATTTTTCCCATGTCAGCCCGATATCCCAATTTTCTTCTGCCTGTAAAACTTGCAGGTGTTGCAGCACCTGAAATGTTGGAGGGACAGATGAAATATCCAGTTGAAAGTCATTGGAGCGGTTGTTTCTGTGGGGGAAAATTTATTGTGTGAGGGTGGAATGGAAGTGCTGAAATAGTACACCTTAATAAAAGGATGGCAGGGAGGCTTTGTGTGAAATATAGGTGGTGTTTCCCATGAGCCATTTAAAACTCAGCTGAGGTCGTAAATACAGAGAGCTCGACTTAAGGACACTATTCCTGATGACCTCTCCAAGCACTGCTGAGCTTTTCCCAGGAGTTCAGCATTCGAGAGGTTCTACTGAGCAGAGATTCTTTTCAGAAAGTGCTCTGAAGGTCCCCCCCGTCCTCCTCGGCCCGTGGGCTTTGGCTGTTGGTGTCTCATTTGGCCCTTGGGCGGCACAGACCGATCACTGCAGCTCTCTGGCTCCGTCTCCTCCGCAGGATTTTGGAACGCTACATCCAGGACCAGATTCCCGGGGCGACGGTGGTGGTGGAGTCCATCGGGGCCCGGAGGTTTGGGGACGGGTACTCCGAAGAGGATTACACCAAGTCCGACCTCATGGTCTACGCCATCGACCCGCAGACCAACAGGGCCATCATGAGGAACGAACTGTTTAAGTGAGTGTCTGATTCCTTGCTCCTCCTCTATTCCCGGGGCCTGTTTGGAAGCCTGTGGGTCTGTTGGGAAGTGGTTCAGCATAACAGGAGTAGGGAAATCTCTGGAAGCAGTTGCTGCCTGGCCTTACCCTCCGTAACTCGGGGATTTACCACTTTACCAGTTCAGTGCATTGCCTTGAGTTAAATCATCCCCTGATTTAGACATTTTCACCACGAGAGCTTGCAAGACACTTGGGCCACCCTGTGCAGGAGCTCCCAGCTTCAATTCCTCTGAAGGAATTTCCTTCCTATGTACCAACACTCCTCTGCGATGTCCAGGCAAGGGCTTTGCTGCTGCGGTGCTGGACCTTCCCTTTCCATTTGGAAAACTGCCTTTTTTTCTTTTGTTTGTTTCTTTCTGGGTTCTGGGGTTGGGTTTTTTTGTGGGGACCAAAGGAAGAGAATAAAGGGAAGGGGAAGGAACAGAGGTGGTTTGCTATGTCTGAAACACATTGGGGCATGATCCAGGAGTACCCACACAGAGGAGATCAGACCCTTCAAGATGCAAATCAGGCTTTTCTTCTAAAGCAGCCTCTCTCTTTTGGTTTTTTTTTCCTTATTTCACCTTTGTGTTTGCTTTTTATCTTGGTGAGAACTGGGCCAGGCTGTGGCTGGAAAAGGCCTTGTTCTCCTGAGCTCCTCGTGGAGTACAGATGAACTATGGTGAACTAAAGCTGTGCAGGTATTCAGAGTTTACAGGCTGGAAAAGATCCCTGTGATCAGTCTGAGCGAGTGTAATAAGAATCATGGAACCCCTCAAATTCATTCTGGTTGGAAAGTGTCTGTCAGCAAAGCAGCTCCACAAGGAAAGCCACTCAATTACCTTTGTGTAATTTCCCGACAAAAATTAGGTCTTTTTCCCCTTTTTTTTTTTTTTATTTATTTTAATTTCTGTGGGTTCAGTCAGAGAGTTTTCTTAAAACTGAAGTATCCAACTGGTGCTTTTAATTTCTGTGTCCCACCAAGGTCTAGGCTTATGATCACATCGTCCTCTAAATTTTTATTCTTGAGAAGTTGCTTGACCTCTGCACTCTGGGCTGTGTTTAAATTGTTTTGATCACTTCAAGTTGTCTCTGAAGCCTCTCCAGTCTTCCAGCATCACTTTTTGAACTAAGCATACAAAAATTTTGTGGTTTCATATAACATTTTCTATTTTTATATAAAAATATTTTTAAAAATATTTTTAAAAATAGCCTCTCAGAGGGGTGGCAGTAGAACCACCCTGTTGGCATTTGGTTTTGGGTATCTACTAGGTCATACAGTCTTTTTAGGTCTCAGTGATGCTCTGGGAGTTTGTGTTCGTGTGTCCACTGCTGATCCTTCCCAGAATGGTGTCTTTGTATTTTTATTCCCAGTTTTATTCAAGAGTGGAAGTGGAAATTCAGGAAGCCAGCAGAAATCTGTGATAGATAGATAACCATTCTCATTAATCTCCAAAGAAAAGTGCCAGTGAATCTGCTTGCAGTTGCCCTGTTTCAGCCCAACCCACTCCCAAAACGAGTCTCAATGAAAAGAATCTTGCTGCCTTGCATCCAGATTATCTCCTGATCCCTCCTTATCATTGCTTTTCCACTTTTACCCTTTATAAATTCCTGGAGGTGTGTGTTTTATTCCAGTCACAGCCAGTTCAGAGTGGCTGAAGTGGGATCCCTTTAGAAATGCTCGAGGTCAAAAGGACATTATTGAATTCCATGAAAAAATAAAAACTTTTTCTGATGCAGACTCTCTTCACAGTCAGGAAAAAAAAAATGTCCCTCTTCTTTTTGGGACCCTTTGAAAATACAGGAATGTCTTTTAGGAACATTCATGTGTCCAGTGAAATACCCAGAGCAGAAGAGAGCTAAGATAGGTTAAAAATCTGATTTTCAAATGTGAAGGATCAGCTGAGAAGGAATCTCATTAAAATGCTCCATGTGCCTGCACACTCAGCTTTTTGGTGTTGTTTTTTTTTTTCCTCTCTTCAAAAGCTTTTAAATATTTAAATCAGCAAAATCCCAGGGAATGCTCTCCTGGCTTTAGGGTAGAGGTGAGGAGGTGTCAGCTCCCTGGAGTAAGGAGGGAGAGTTTTGGAGCTTGGCAGCTGGAGTTACCAAGTTTTCCCCAGCAAGTGGGTGAACCACCAGATATTTGCCCCAGCTCAGGGACATACCCAAATCTACAAAGAAATCCCTCCTGTGGGCGTTTTCCTGGAGGCTTGATTTTCCAGGAATGGCTCCGTGTTCTTCCTGCCACACTCCCAGGACACAGTGGTTGTGCCCTCAGTGGGAAGCCGTGAGTCACAACCATCCTTCTGCCAGGCAGGAATCTGCTCTGGATCTACCAGACAAAGAGATCAGTAGGAGAAAGGATCATTTAATAAGCTGGAGATGATGGGAGGAAGGTGAGAAAGTCCTAAAGAAACTCCTGTTTTAAAAATTGAATTGGCAATAAGGAATATAAATTTACCTGAGTTATTTTCCAAGTGTTCAGCAATTCCATGATGTGTTCAGAAGAGAGAACTGTACCAACAGCATAGAGTTAGCACATGAGTTCTGCCAGCTGGGATTTTAACACAGTTTACAGAGTGATTATGTTTTGGAAGATAACTGGAATGGGCTTTTTTGGGAACACCCTGCTGAGATCCTGCTCCTAAAACACTGAGCAGGCCCTGATTTAAGAGTTTGCTGCCCCTGTTTGAAACAGTCCCCTGTGAAGGTGGGACAGGAGGTAAGTTTAGGACAGAGTGGAGCAGCCTGTTCTCCTTCACAGGTGGAGTGCTGCTGAGATACAGACAGATTTCAGGGATACAGACCCAGGTTCTTGGATTTACCCTGGAGCTGGGAGGAAAGGGTGGGCTTGGCAGCTCAGGCCCATCACCAGCTAAGCAGAGTCACCCACTGAACCAAAGGGTGTGTGTCAGGCTCCCATCATCCCTAATATTAATCCCATCACAATTCCAGCAAAAAGTTTGGCTGGAAAACAAAGCCATGATTTAGAAACCATGGATGTGGCCATCACTGCCAGGGGGAAAAACCTGTGTCCCTCCAGACCTGACAAAGTTTCCCTGTCCTGTGCTCTGTCAGACTGATCCACAATGAGAGATTCCTGTTTTTCCCTACGACTGTTGTGACTGATGACCTGCCATTTTCCTTAATCAGCAATCTCATAAAATAGAATCATTAAGGTTGGAAAAGCCCTCCAAGATCGAGTCCAACCCTGAATGCAGCACTGCCGTGTTCACCACTCACCCATGTCCCCAGGTGCCACATCCACACATTCCAGGGACGGGGACTCCACCACTGCCCTGGACACCCTGTTCCAGTGCTTGACCAACCTTTCAGTGAAGAAATTTTCCCTAATATCCAATCCAAACCTCCCCTGGCACAGCTGGAAGCTGTTCCCTCTCCTCCTGTCCCTTGTTCCCCGGCAGCACAGCCCGACCGCCCCCGGCTCCCCCCTCCTGTCAGGGACTTGCAGAGCCAGAAGGTCCCCCCTGAGCCTCCTTTTCTCCAGGCTGAGCCCCCCCAGCTGCTCCTGGTCAGACTTTTGCTCCAAATCTGTCTGATTACACCCAAAAAATGGGCCTGAAAAGTAACTGTGCTTTGCTATTCCCTCTCTCTACCATGAACCCCTGAAAGACTCTGAAGCTACTTAGAGATAATTTTACAAACTGAAATGATCAGCCTCCTTTTCTATCTTTTTATAGGAAAGAGGGTTTGATTTATTGGAGCATAAAAACCAGTTGAATCCAGCAAATTTCTCCTGCATATATTAAGTGGAAAATGTCCACCATTAAAAACAAATTGCTTACCCTGCCTGAATCTCTTGCACAACGTGTCAGGTTCCGTCATGGAGTAAACGCTCACGCTTGAGTTACAACCTGTTAAAACAGGGTTTGTCAAGAAAATGCTGAGGGAATTTTAATGGAGAGATGGTTAAAATCATCCAGAGATTTAATGCTGTCCTGCTGGGATGCTTTTGCCAGCTCAAAGGACGTGTGACATGCACCAGTGACATCTAGTGTGCAGCAGAAGAATTTAGTCTCACTTTATGCCTCGTGAACCGTCATTAGGTTTGAAAAGGGATTTTTTTCTCAAGCACCACGAGCATTCTTGTGGAAGAAATCAAGGGGCAAACAACGCTGTGAGGGTTTCTGAGTAAATTAATTAGAGGGGAAGTCGATTTTAAGAAATTAACTGCCATTAGGAAATGGTTTTTGAGGAGTGTTATTTCTATCTGATGATCAAGCTATTTCAGACTATTCGGACATTCGGAGTTTATGTGCAGAAATCCTTTCAGAATATTTTTTTTTAGCTGTTGTTTTTCATCTGATCTTGTCTGGGTTTTTTCTGACACATCATTTTTCCCCAGGAGAACCCCTGTCCAGGTGGAGGTCCTGCTATGGCTCTGAGCCATAAGGATCCTCCATCCTAATAGTGCCTCCTACTTTGGTCTTTTTAGCTGGGCAGCTTGTGAGACACTCAGTCCTCACTTCCAGAGTGATCCAAGGATTTTTCTTTTCCTTTAGAAGTCAAAGCCTTGGCCAATGCATTTTTTTGTCCCTCCAGCCAAAGGATTCCCCTAAGAAGCTGAGGGAAGTCCTCCTGCTTTTAGAGTAGCATCAATCACAGTCGTGAAGGAATCCCATAAAATAGAATCATTAAGGTTGGAAAAGACCTACAAGATTATCAAGTCCAACCGTTCCCCCAGCACTGCCAAGGCCACCACTAACCCATGTCCCCAGGTGCCACAGCCACGTGGTTTTTGAACCAAGGATGGAGAATCCACCACTGCCTGAGCAAGACCATGTGGATCTTTAGGCCATAGTGGGATGTGTTCAGGAAGGGCTGGTTGATCCTCTGTAACAGACCAGTGAAGGAAAGAGCACAATCAATGCCACTTTGAGCCCCTAGAAATCACGATAAGCTTCAGCTCATCCCTCCTTTTCAGTGTTTAAACTGTGTCCTGGTATTAAGTACCTTGGAGTCATTCCAGGGATTACAAGGAATTGCCAATACCTAAACCCCAGGCTTTATCAGCCCACGGTTACTAACCCAACCACAGCCACCCAACCACACTTCATGAACTTGACCATAATTCTTCTGTGCTGCCGAAGGTTCCTGGATGGCAAACTGCTGGACATCAACAAGGAGTTCCAGCCCTACCTGGGGCAGGGCGGGCGAATCCTGGAGATCCGCACGCCGGACGTGGTGGCCAACGTGAAGAAGCAGGCGCAGGCCATGGGCTACACGGAGGGAGCGCTGCTGGCCCTGGCTGTGATCATCATCCTGTGCTGCCTGCCGGCCATCCTCATCGTCATGGTCAGCTACAGGCAGTGAGTAACCTCCTCCCTCCCCCCTTCCCACTTCCAGCAGCCTCCCAGTAGGGAGGTCACGTAGCGTGGCAGAACCGCTCCGACGCCATCCGTCCTTGCAGTGAGAGCAACGTATCATTTCATATTTATATGTTATATATATATATTTATATATACTTTTATATAGTATATTTTTATATTACATGTATTTATACATTATCTCTTCTGTATTAATTCCTATTTTTAACTCCCCTCTCCCCACAAGGGTTGGCCAGTGCTCGGTGTGATGCACGTGGGAAGCGCGTCTTGTCGGACTTTTCTGGGGCAGGGAGCTTTTAGAACACGGCCTCAAAAGCCAGGTGTTTGAAACACAGGGGTAGTTTCAGGGCTGAATTCCATGCCAAAGGAAAAAAAAAAATTGAGGAGAAAAGGTGCTGTCTCAGTCAATGACCCAAAAATCAAACTGCGCAGCTCGATAAAATAAAAAGAGTCCATTTTTTTGCTTATATATTTATAATTTTAATAACATTATAAAATATTTATCATATTAATGTATTTATAATATTTATAATATCATGTATTTATAATATTTCTAAATTACATTTATGACATTTATTTATACTATTTATTTATAATATTTCTAAATTACAGTTATGACATTTATTTATACTATTTATTTATAATATTTCTAAATTACATTTATGACATTTATTTATACTATTTATTTATAATATTTCTAAATTACATTTATGACATTTATTTATACTATTCATTTATAATATTTCTAAATTACATTTATGACATTTATTTATAGTATTTTAAAATAATATTTATAATATTTATAAATTATTTTTTAAAATATAATGTTTTCCCCCTAAAATAATCAACAGTTATATACTTTTCCCAACCTTCTTAATTGTAAATGTTTCCTGGAGGATGCTTTTTGTGCCATTTCTGTCTAAAGCAGCAGGGAGAACCTTCTTGCTATTTTCACTCACCTCTTGTATTAACTTTATATTAACTTTAACTCACCTCTTATATTCACTCACCCCTTAATTAAACCTGAAGAGGTTTAATTAATTGGCTGATAAACTAATTAAAGGGTCAACATCACCAATAAGAACCTCCCAACTAAACTTTTTCTGGCCCTTTCATATTTTAAATCAATGCATTTGAACTACAAGGTAGATCGATTCCTAGATTTATATATATATTTATTTATAGATTTTTCTTTAATTAAAGATGATACTCAGAGATACTTAATGGATTTACTAATTAATTATTATATTCACATCCCAGTTTCTCCAAAACCTTTGAGTCAATGGAAAAAGACCTTTTAAAAGAGTTTGGAAGAGTTTGGTGCATTCCCAAGCTTCCCTGCTTATCCCAAAAATCTGTAGAAAATTCGAGTTCAACCTCCAATTAGTTGGTTGCTGTTACCTGAACTGCCTGTTTCTTGAAGAAATCGAAGAGCACTATTTTTCCCTGGCATCTGTTAGATTATCAAAACACCATCCATCTCTTTTAAGAGCTTTAAGGAATCTGCCCAACTTCATTTCATCAAACAAAATCCCATTTTTGCTGTCTGGAAGTGAGACTTGGAGCCAAATTTATAGCAGCCCAGTGTGAATAAAACTGTATTTTTATGAGAAATGCATCACTGAAGAGTGCCAAAGAAAATAAAAGGAATTTTAGTGTTAATAGAGGCACCAAAACTGTCCTGAGCCTTCTGGTTTGTTTTTCCATTACAGCCTTTTTTTCTCCTTTTCAAAAGGAGTTTCAGGATTTTTCCTGAAATATTTCTCTTGTAATAAAGCTGAAAATTATGCCTTTGAAATACAGAATCCAGTACAACCCTGCAAGGTACTTCTAAATAATAGATTATTTACTAACACTGATCACAAATGAATGGTATCTTCTAAATAATAATAAATAATACTCCCTCACTATTGGAAATGTTTTCTAGACCATTCTTGAAATGTGTTAAAATGGAGAGACTGGTAAATAAATTATTAATATTATTATTATTATTATTAATAATAATGTCTATATTTTTTAATTTACAGTTATTATACTATATTATGTTATATTATACTATATTATCTTATATTATATTTAAAAACTGGTATAAAAATGCACCTGTTAAAGAAATAACATGAGAAATACTATTTTTTTCCATGTCTTCCTCTGTTCCCTGTGTGAGTGTGGCAGGGAGTTGTTTTCCATAAGCCCAAAGCAGCTTTTCCCTTCTGGAATTCCCATTTCTGCTGACTGCAGAATTGTTCCAAGGGTAGCAAAAATAGCAGCAAAACACTCTTCAGCTGTGGAAATTAGGATCCTTTAAACATGTCATTAATCCTGTAATTTGATGTATGGATTAATTAAGTAGCCTCTAGTTTATTACTCCTGTTAAACTCACTGTTTGAGACAGTTGTTGGAAACAGAATTCATTTAACCTGCCTTTTTATCTCTTCTTTTTTTCTTGCATAACAAAACAGATTCAAAGAGTAAGTACTTATTTCCAGCTTCATTTTTACCAGCTTGCATAGGAATACTGACAGCCTGCCAGACTTTAGTGTTTAAATACATTAAATGTATATTTTTAGCCTTCAGTGAGAGTTGATTCCTATGCTCCAACTTGCTCCTGAACACTTGGTATGAGGAGTTTAAAAGTGATTTATTTTTTGTGGCTACTCAGTGTGATTTATTACTGCATTAAGGATATGGGGGTTTGGGTTATTGCTGTTTCCTGCAGAGAAAAAGGTAAATATTCCCATGTGTGTGGAATTCCACAAGCAAGTCAGGGCGTGTCAGGCAAGGAAGAGTCAGGTGTTGACCCACCTCAAAAACCAAACTGAGGTGGAGCTGTCGTGTCACCTTGATGGTGCTCCCCAAAAACACCCATGAGACACCACAGCTTGGTTTTCTACAGGGAAAACAGGAATCTCTTTCATAGGAACTTGACTCCTTATAAAGAAAAAAAAAAAAAAGGCATTTTTTTCAGGAAAACTCTTAATTGAAACAGAAATTTCCCAGCCAACTCCCCTGAGAAAAAGGAGTTGAAGGTGGACAAGGGGAGTGGCTTCAAGCCAACAAAGAGGAGATTTAGATGGGATATTGGGAAGGAATTCTTGGCTGGGAGGGTGAGGAGGCCCTGGCACAGATTGCCCAGAGAAGCTGTGGCTGCCCCTGGATCCCTGGAAGTGTCCAAGGCCAGGTTGGAGCAACCTGGGCTAGTGGAAGGTGTCCCTGCCCATGGCAGGGGGTGGAATGAGATGATCTTTAGGGTCCCTTCCCACCCAAACAATGCTGGGATTCTGTGATTTTATTCCTGTCTGGAGGAGCTCTGGGATTCCACCAAAACAGAACAAGAGAGCTGAACAAAGCAGGAAAATATAATCACTTTGGTGAAGGCAACACTCAGGGATGTTTATAAACTGCAGAAAAAAACATGGAAAACTTTCCATTTGGGCTTTATGTTGGGGCGGGGAGCGTTTCTGATGAGTCTTTCTCCTTCCCTCCGTGGCTCCCAAAGGAGGCAGGCTGAGTGTGCCAAGACTGCCAGGATGCAGATGGCTTTGCCAGCAGGGAAACCAGCCAGTGCCGCTGCCAACAACCTCTACGAAGAGCTTGGAGACAGCACCATGTGAGTATTCCTTGAGTATTCCATCAATAAATCCAACCTGGGCTAGTGGAAGGTGTCCCTGCCCATGGCAGGGGGTGGAACTGGGTGAGCTTTAAGGTCCCTCCCAACCCAAACCATCCTGGGATTCTGGGATTTTCCCGTCTCGCTTCATGCACTCTGTATCCAAAAGGCTTTTCCTCATTCCTGCTTGGAGTTCTCCCAAGATCCAGAAAAGACACAGGATGACCCTTTGAGGAGAGAAAAAGCAATTTAATCTTCTTGTAGGGGCTGGGAGGTTGTTTAACAGTTTTAAGTGGGCAAAAAGCAGGTTTAACCACATGGTTTCCTACGAGCAAGAGCAGGTCACTGCTGCCAGGGTGAGCCAGCTTTGGATTCCTTGGCGAATCCAGCCCTAGATGGTTTCCAAAGCTGTTGACTAAACACATCCAATAGAATTCATTACTTATAAATTCATTAATTAACTGGACACATCTGAAATGACAGAACACTGAATATTGCTGCTCCGAAGTCCCCATTTCCTACAGTAAGAAATACTCTGTTGGGTAAAGTGTGTTGTTTTTTGGTTTTTCCTTTTCTGCTCTAAATTTAAAACTGTTTAAATATTGAAATAAAAGGAACTCTCAGAGAAGAGAAACCACTGGCAGGTCTATGAATGCATCTTTTATCTATTACATGCTCATAAAATAATAATATTGCGAGGTTGCTTACCTTTTCATGCTTCTGGAAACCTGAAGTTGATGGACTCCAACAACAATTTAACTCCCAGCATGAAAATATTCCAGGGGGGAGTAGCCAATTATTATTTGTCCCATACTGGGAGGGGTTTGTTCATGAGCTTTGTCACACACTCTTTGTATGAAAAATCCAAGGAATGCTGAAGAGCACAGCTTTAATAATGTTTGGAGGCAGGTAGAGAGGTGGAATTGAGGATTGCTCCGTTTTCCATCATTATTTGTTTTGCTCAGAAAGCCGGAATTCTCCAGCTGCTGAGACTGAGTTTAGAAAACACTCCAGGGGCGTGACAGAGCTGTAACCCTTGGCCAGACACTCTGTGCCTGGGGAATCATTCCAGAGCTTGAGCTTTTCTGGGTGAATAGAGGAATAAAAATTCCTGGGAGCAGGAATAGCTTCTCCTCATTGCTGAATTCCCTCCTGTGCCGTTTGCCTTTGACAAGTGCTACACTTGGGCAGGAAGGGAGGAAAAATGGATGTTCAGCTGTGGAATAATAGTGATTTTGGAATGTGTTTGTGAACCACAGGAGATCACATCTGTACTTCTGCACAGAGGTGCCTGCTGGGTAAAATTCCCCTTTTTTTTTTTTTTTTAATTAAACTAAATTTCTCTTGAAATTAAAGATGTATTGCCAAATACCTGATGCTAAACCCAGAAAAAGCCTTATTTTGCTGAGGTTTTATCTGCAAAGGGTTTTTTTATGTTTTAGTACTGCAACGTATAGGGGCCAGTTCACAAACATGCAGTATTGACTCTGAGGCTGAGATTTATGTTAATTTTGACAAAAAAATTGATTTTATC